CACTGAGTCACATCTGCGCCCTCATTTCTTTCTTTCTTTTTTTTTTTTTTTGCTTTTTGGGTCACACCTGGCTATGCACAGGAGTTACTCCTGGTTCATGCACTCAGGAATTACTCCTGGCGGTGCTCAGGGGACCATATGGGATGCTGGGAATTGAACCTAGGTCGGCTGCGTGCAAGGCAAATGCCCGACCCGCTGTGCTATTGCTCCAGACCCTGAGCCCTCATTTTAATCTTAATCATTTGAGTTAGTGTATCTTGTGTGTATATATTTTTTTTTTGCTTTTTTTTGGCTCACACCCAGCGATGCATAGGGGTTACTCCTGAATCTGCACTCAGGAATTACTCCTGGTGGTGCTCGGGGGACCATATGGGATGCTGGGAATTGAACCCGGGTCGACGCGTGCAAGGCAAATGCCCAACCTGCTGTGCTATTGCTCCAGCCTCTCTTGTGTGTATCTTTGGTGGTGGTGGGGACACAACAGGTGATGCTCCAGGGTTACTCCAGGTTCTGCACTCAGGAATCACTCCTGGTGATGCTCAGGGGACCATATGAGATGCTGAGGATTGAACCTGAGATAGTTACAAAGCTTTCATGACTGAGTTTCAGTTATACAATGATTGAAAACCCGTCCCTCCACCGGTGTACATTTTCCACCACCAATGTCCCCTGCATCCCTCGTGCCACCACCACCCAACCCCACCCCCTGCCTCTATGGCAGACAATTTCCCTCTTACTCTCTCTCTACTTTTGGTCATTATAGTTTGCAGTACAGATACTGAGAGGCTGTCATGTTTGGTCCTTTATCTACTTTCAGCACACATCTCCCATCTAATCTAATCTCGTGTCACCTCTGCATGCTGTCTCTGCAGGCAGGTTCCCGCTCCAGGAAGAGCCGGGCTGAGTTATCAAGAGGCGTTGTGAAGTGAGAACAGCAAACAGATCCCAGCTTGACAGCTCTCAGAGTATCACCCAGAGGCTCTGCGGGATTCACTTCCTGGAGACGGTCCCGGACCATTTAGCAGACAAAGACAAAAGAGAGAAGGTGAACTGCACACATCCGCAGTCAGCCAAGCCAGGACCCTGGCACTGCAGTGACCAGACAGACCCCAAAGCCATGATCAGCGTGTCCTAGGAGAAGGGAAGCAAACGTGTTCAGACAGCAGACAAGAAAGGAAATCCAAACCAAAAAGAGAAATCTTCTAACAATTAGAAGGCTTATAAGTGGGTGGGCATGGAGGGTTTTATGCTAAGTGAAATGAGTCAAAGAGAGGGACAGACATAGAAGGACTGCACTCATTTGTGGAATATAAAATAATATAAATGAGACACCCAAGGACAGTAGACACAAGGGCCAGGAAAGTTGTCCCATAGTTGGAAGCTGCCTCATGAGCTAGGGGAGAGGGCAGCTGGGATTGAGAAGGGATCACTAAGTCAATGATGGTTGGAGGGATCGCTCGGGATGGGAGATGTGTCCTGCCTCTCTCCACTGTCCACAGGTCATTGTTTTTGTGTTTTTTTTCCCCCAGAGTTTGGGCTGTTTTCTCCAGAAACGTTGAGTCTAGAAGCTGGAGCGATAGGACAGCAGGGAGGTAGTTTGCCTTGCATGTGGCTGACCTAGGTTTGATCCCCGACACCCCATCTGGTCCCCCAGAGCCCGCCAGCAGTGATCCCAGAGTGCAGAGCCAGGAGTAAGCCCTGAGCACTGCCAGTGTGGCCCCTATCCAAAATAGAATAAAATAAAATAATGCTATGTGGGAGGTGTGCAGGGTTCAGGTGGGCCCTTCCTAAGTACCGACAGCACTGGAGTGGTGCGGTCTGTCCCATCGACCGCCCCCCACCACTCATAGGATGTTGACTTCTGCTGCTTTTCCTCACTCCAAAGATCTATTGGTTTTTTGGGGGTTATTTATCATCTCACCCACTGTTCCAATTTAAACACAATTGTTTTAGAATCCATCTCGGCCTCTGATAGGGCGGGCACTTCGGGAAGTCTGCGCTTTCTTTTCCTAGCCTTAAATATTTACTGGATTCAGTCTTCCCTTTCCACATCAGCACTAAGACCCACTTACAGCACGTCATGAAGATCTTCCACGTAGCCAACTGAAAGAGCATTGCATGTGGAGTTTGGTTTTGAGAAATCGCCCTGGGAGGTGCGGTCTCCCCTTAGGACGGGCCTCTGGCTCCCTTTTCCTGGCACCCGCGGCCTCCTCGGCCTTGGCCTTGGCCTTCCTGGTTTCCATCACGTGGCCCGCGGAAGTCTTCCCACTGCTCTGTTTTCTCTCTCCACCTGCCACCAGGATCTGCCCATTAACGTGGCCGAGAAGGACAGCTGGACCTTCTCCCGCGGTTCCTATCATAAAGAAACACGGACACAGTTCAAAGCCCCGCTTGGCCCGACCCTGTGCCAGGGGTGCGGGCTGCGATTCAGACACACCTGGGACAGGTGTGAGAGGCAGCCCAGGAGCAGGTGTTGGGGCCAGTCAGAACCGTTTCATCTCTTTGAAGGCAAAGTGTCTGGGGAAGAGAGCCAGGGATACGATCACGGGACTTGTCACTCCAGCACTTCCTGGCCCAGGGAAGGGGCTTGGGGTCTTGAGGGCCCTGACCTCATGCCTCTGGGTCAGGTCCAGCACAGCTGGGCAGACACTGCCGGGGGTGGGGGCGGGTGGAAGGTTGTGTCCACACTTGCATATTCTCTAGTCCAGTGTCCAGAGATGGGCTGGGAGAGGGTGAGATGTGCCCTGAGAATGAGCAAGTCAGGGGGCCCAGGAGACTAATGTGGGAGCACCTGGTGCAGAAGGGGAGCACTGATGTGGGAGCAGCTCCCATGCCAGACACTGAGCTCCCACCCAGGCCCGGGGTGGGGAGAGCACCCTCGTGTTGAAGCTGCCTCTGCCCCACATCCTCTCTGGGTGGAGGGCTGGATGGGCTAGACTGTGCTGTCAGCACGCCCTAAAGCGAACAGAAAGGAGCAGCGACTCCGCCCGCCACCGTGCAGCAGGAGGGTCAGTCCAGGCCAGAGGGACCATCTCCCACCAGCTTGACCCCTGACGTCCCTACCTCAGGTTCACCCCCGACACAGTCCCTAGCAGCTGAGGGAAGCAGGCAGGGGCTTGGGAGGAAGTGGGGGGGGGGGGTATGTGCCTGACACGGACGTCTGCCAGGATGTCTGAGGTCCAGCCCTGAGGGTCTTAGCAGGGACCTCAGGGAACTGACTCAGCCCTGAGCATGTGTCTATGAACTGCACCTTAGTGAGAAGCCCTGAGCATGTGCCCATGAACTGCATCCAGGTGAGAAGCTCTGAGCATGTTCCCATGAGCTGCATCTGAGTGAGAAGCCCTGAGCGTGTGCCCATTAACTGCATCTGGGTGAGAAGCCTGAGCATGTGCCCATGAACTGCATCCCGGTGAGATGCAGTGAGTTGGGGGAGTAAGATGCAGCGAGCCCAGGAGCAGCTGGAGCTGAGACAGAGGCGGCTAGCTGGGGGATCTGCCCAGCCCAGACTTCCGGAGGGTCCCAGCACACACACAGGTGGGCATACCCGTCTCCTGTCCCGACGGCTCCCAGGTCAGAACATGACATGCGGGTTTGAACCTGGAGCTGCACTGGTCTCTGCATGTTCCCCCTAGTCGGGGACAGTGACCCCAGCAATGGGGGCGGGGAGGGGCGCTCTCGGGAGTGGGCCAGGACTTTCCCGCTGGTGTCCTGGCATTGCTGCAGAGGGGCTGAACAGACCCATCACGGCTCAGTGTGGGCACTTCCCTGTTGGCCCCGGCCCCGGTCCGGCACAAGTCCAGCTCCTGACACCGAGTCTGGCATGCTGACCTGGAAGTGGATCCTCCTTCCTTGTGGGATCATCATGACAATACGACCCTAGGGGACAACGGGGTGTCATGGGTGGGATCTAGCAGCACCAGACACTGACTGGATTCTGAGTCCCATCACGGGCTGGCAAAACCTCCAGACGCCCTCAGGAAGGACCCTGAAGCCCAACACCCCCCTCCCCCAGGAACTGCAGGGTCAGGAGGATGGGGGATGTCAGGAGGACACTGCCCTGTCCTGGGTCATGCCTGGTGTCTGCCAGGTGACCCCCCACAATGCGTGGGGGACGATGGAGGGTCGAGACCCAGTTCCCGCTCTGGTCCTGAGGGAGTGACCCGCTGGGGTGTTGCTGGATCCCTAGTGTGGCCATGGCCGTGGCTGCACAGAGGGGCCCCAGTGCAGAGCTCAGGGTGGTGGGGGACCCCGGACCTCCAGGCTCCAGGGAGGGGCACAGCGGGAGGGTCCTGCTGGGGCGGGGCCGTGCTCTGGCCGGCTCTTCTCCTGGGACCCAGGCCTGGCCTTTGACCAGGCAGGCCTGCACCCCAGGGAGGGGCTGGCTTTCGGGAGAAGCGGGATCCACAGGCCATCTCTCTCACAAGACTGACTTTGGTCTTATGCCCATGGAGAGTCTACCTGGGCAGGGTCCCTGCACACAGAACCCTGACGGGGACGGTCCTTTGCTTGGTCTGAGCAAGAATAAGACGCTTGTCATCTTCTCAACTAGACCAAGAGAACTCAGAACGCTTAGCGAAGTGCAGGTAATGGTATCAGTATTATTTTCCTGATAAAAATAAAAAAAAATAAGAAAAACATAAAAAAAAAGAATAGGAATTTCTGCTTTGCAGAGTACAGGGAGAAGCGACCTTTTGGACCCACTGCTCATCTGGAGTCGGGGATGGTTGTGAGCAGCTGACAGAGAGGAGGGTCCCACAGGGCTGAGCCGCAGGGCTGAGCCCCCGAGCACAACCTGGTTCCTGACAATGGGTCTCCCTCCAGAGGCCCCCCGGTCCAGGACAGCCAGCAGAACTGTGGGGTGGGAACAGCCTTCTCTGGGGCCCCCCTGAGGCCCTTTGGGGAGGAGCTGTAGGCGGGGCCGAGAGCAGGCGGGACACCCAGGCCCTGGACACACGTGGGTATAAACAGGGCCGGCCCCCGAGCCCAAGCCCACTGCCGCCATGGACACCAGAGTGCTGGGGGTGCTGGTCTTGGTGCTGGCCTTAGGGGTATCCAGCTCAGCCGGGGAGTACCTGGGCCTGTGTGAGTACCTGGCTCAGGACGGAGGCCTGGGGGGCAGTGTGGGGACGTGGGCGCAGGAGGGGCTGAAGTCGGGCATGGGGCTCCCTTGGGGGGAGGCAGGACTTTGCCCTCGAGAGCCTGTCCCCAGATACACAGAGCGCACACTTGGGACACACATCCCGGTCAGCTACCGCCACCTCCAGACAAGGAAACTGAGGCTGGAGGCTGCCAGCATCCCTGGGTCAGCCACCCCCATGCTCCAGACAAGGAAACTGAGGCTGGAGGGCCGCCAGCTGCCCTGGGTGCCCTCCTGGCCAGCTGCAGCACCCTCCCTGCTTAGTAATTTGCCAGAAAGTTCTGCAGAAAGACTTGGGTCTTTAAGATCTGACACATTTGCAAACAGAGGTGACGGTCCCAGGACTTCCCACATGGATGAATGCCTTGCCCCTCCCTTGCCTCGGCTCCAGCCGGCCCGTCTGCTGTCCATGGGGAGACTTGGGTGGGGTCTGCCGGTTCCCCCCGCAGGGTGGTGGGCAGTGCCCCCTCCTGGTGCCCATGGGAATCTCCCCAGAGCCCTCACAGCCCCTCAACCTAGACCCCCGAGCTCACGAGGACCCTGCCCTGGGTGAGGCCTCTCAAGCTCAGGCCCCATGAGCCCCCGAGAGAAGTCTGGGTCCCCGTGAGGGGAGAGACAGGCAGGGCAGAGTGGAGGGGCCGGGGTGTGTTCATCTCTGAGGGAGCCCAGGGAGGGGCGGGTGGGGCTGGCGATCCCACGGAGGGTGTGAGCCTGGATGCCGGGTGTTCGGGAAGGGGGGACCTATGTGAGTGGCGAGAGGGGGTGGGACAGCCCCCGACTCCCGGCCTTCGAGGAGAGTCGGTGAGGGACGGTGCAGGGACCCTCGTCTGAGCCCCGCCCATGGGGACCTGGACAGTGGAGACTGCCCGGGGCTGGGCCATCACTACGGCCACCCCTGAGGAGCGCGTGCGCGGTGTGGGCTCAGGCCAGGGCGGGTGGCAGCTGAGTGACTCTGTCGGGACAGCGAAGGAGCAGTGCGTGGTGCCCCCCAAGGACCGGGTGGACTGTGGCTATCCCGAAGTCACCCCGGAGCAGTGCAACAACCGCGGCTGCTGCTTCGACGACAGTATCCCGCAGGTGCCCTGGTGCTTCAAGCCTCTGCAGGAGACAGGTGAGCCCTGCCCACTGCACCCTGCCACGCGGGCTGAGTGCCAGGAAACACGAATCACCCCCAAGGATGCTGGTTCAGGGGTGGTGGCTCAAGGCTGCCAGAAGGCTCAGGGCGGGGCGGGGGCTGTCCCTGGCTCGGCAAACATCCCAAGGGCAGGGCCAGTGGCCTGGCAGCTGGTGGCCGTAGGGGCGTGGTGTCGGTTCCTCCCCACACCTGCCACTCCTCTGGTCACCCCGCCTTGCCGCCCGAGTGCTGCCTGCCGGATGGTGGGGGCGGGGGGCAGTGTGTGTCTAGTGGAGGGGTGCTATCCCCAGGCCCCATACCACTCTTGGGCAGGGACCTTGCTGGGCCAAAGCCTCCAGTGCTCCAAGCTTGGCCAGGGTGGCTCTGGAGGTGTCTTCTGGAACCTTTCCCAGAGGGGGATGCTCCTGGCTTGGCCCTGGCCAGTGAAGGAAGCCGGGGGCCCCGAGGAGGGGGGCCCAGCCCTGCACACCTGCAGGGATGGGCAGACAGGGCTGAGGGATGGAGGGGCCCAGAGCCACTCGAAGGGGACCAGCCTGTGGCCCTGACACGGCCCTGTAGGAGCTTATGGGGGCATTGGGCCTGTCTCTGTAGGGGGGCTCAGGTTTACCCAAGTCTGGGGGCAGCACAGCAGGCTCTGGCCTGGAACCCCGATGCTCTGGAGTTGTGGGGCGCAGGCGGGACCCAGTAATCCCTCGCTCCTCTGTTCCAGAATGCACCTTCTGAAGCAAGTCTGCTGGCCCTGGACCCCAAGCCCTGATGCTGGCCCCCACCATCTGCACCCCACCCTGGCTGCCCGGCCCACCCTGGGCCTCCCTCGGAGGGGGGAAGTCCGGGATCCCTTGAAGGAATAAAGGCCCCCTTTAGCAGCAGACCCCGCTGTCCCTGGCGCTCATCCCCTCTAGCACGTCAGCCCTCCCTCACAGTGGCGGGCAGCGAAGTGTCTCCATCTGGGGTCTGTCGTCACAGTGGGGGGCTCCACTGTACCCCACAGCTGCCTCTGCGCTGAGCCCAGGAAGAGATGCACCTGCTGTGGGGTCACGACCTCTCAGTGGGGTCACACGTGTCCAGGGGCAGTTCTGCTCCGATCCCCTTGGTCCTGACTCAGGGGAGGGCCTGGACTGATCCTCTCCCAGTGGCCCTGCCCACTTGCAGCCAGGAGAACTGGACCCCGACCCACCATGGCCAGGCTCCGCAAGCCACCCGGACAGCCGAGCATGGGCAGAGCTCGGGCCCGAGCGGCCCCTTCTCTGGGGTGACCACCGCCATGGAGATGCAGTGACTGACCATGGGAGCCGTGGGGTGGCCCCGGGGGCTGGGATGAGACTGTTCCAGGGGTGAGGACGGCCTCAGGGCCATCCCAGCCAACACTCGTCCTGTCTCTGGGGTTCCTGGGACTGGGCCATCGTGTCCACACTTGAGTCCTCCCGGCACCCCTAGTACCCACGAACTGAGAGGTCACCCTGACTGTGAGGTCCTCCTCTCAGCCCCCTCATGCCTCTCTGGAAGGGAGACGCCCCCGGACACCCCCAGGGACGCCTCCTGCCCTGGACGTGCCTCCCTGCACTCTGGGTGGTGTTGCGGGGACCCTCTAAACTGCTTCACCCTGTGTGCTGGGGGCTTGCTCCTCCCCACAGACCCCCGGGTGCTCTGAGCACTAAGGCGACCCAAGGCAGATGGACAGGAGACATGGGGAAGACAACGGACCACGGGGGAGCCCAGAGTGGCCACTAGGTCAGCCTGTTCAGAAGGGTGGGACTGGGTTTTGTGATTCACCTTCCTGAACCCTAGGAAGTCAGGATGAGTGGGGGAGGGGCGTAGGGCCAGCTGTCAGCCCTAGGAGGAGGCAGTGGCCCCAGTGGACAGCCTCTGGCTCCCTCTGCTGGACACTTCCTGCAGGAACTCACGGAAACCCCTGGGGTTCAAGAGCCATCCCTGGGAGTTTCTGTCCACTCCCAGTCCCCGACTGTCCATCTGGTGTAGAGTCCACTGAAATGTCAGGACTCCACGTGAGGGCATGGCCAGTGGTCTCTCCGGGTGCTACCAGCCCAGCATTTGCTCCCACAGCTTGCTGCCAGACATGAGGGCATTTATGGGTGTGGGACTGAGGGGCTCATTTTCATGCTCTTTGACTACAAGAAAATGCTTGTGACCCACCAGGCCACTAGACACCTCACCCAGGGTTCTTGGGGACAGAGTCCCCAGACCTGGCCAAGGACACAGAAAGCCCCGACCTGAATAAGAAAAGTCACGCCCTAATAAGTGAAGCCACGTCCCAAACAAAGGGAAGCCCCACCCCTGGTAAGTGAAGCCCACCCCAAGCAAAGGAAGCACTGCCCCTGGTAAGTGAAGCCCCCCCGCCAGATCAAAGGAAGCCCCGCCCCAATAAGTGACGCTCCATCCCAAGCAAAGAAAGTCCTGGCCCCAGGAAGTGAAGCCCCACCCAGATCAAAGAAAGCCCCACCCCAATAAGTGAAGCCCCACTCCAAGCAAGGGAAGCCCCACCCCTGGTAAGTGAAGCCCCGCCCCAAACAAAAGAAGCTCCCCCCCCACTGGGAAACTTCTTTCAAGTTCTAAGAAGTTGACCCTTTCAAGGGCCAGAGTGGCCAGGGTTTGATCCCCAGTGTCCTGTATGGTCCCTGAGCACCGCCAGGAGTAATTCCTGAGTGCAGAGCCAGGAGCAACCCCTGAGCATCACCGGATGTGACCCAAAAACAAACCTCCCCCAAAGAAGTTGAACCCTTCCAAGCCAGAAGTCCCCCGATAGGTGCCTGGATGTCCCCTACAGTTCTGCGTCAGGTCCTGGTTGCTCAGATGGGTTTGGAAGCCCCCTGTGCAGGAGCAGAGGAAACTGCTGGGGGCGTGGGTGGGGCGCCTCTAGGCTCAGCGGGAGGCTGGACCTCAGGGTCAGCGCATTGGCCCGTCCCTCTATTCCCCGAGTGACCTTAGAAAGCCAAGCCCTTCCCCACCACCAGCTCCATCTGTGGCCCGCACAAGCTGAGGGTTATCCCAGGTGAGAAAACCGTGATCAGTAATCAATCAGCACACTGCGCTGTAGCTCTCCTGGCGAGTGACGTCAGCCCTGCATGTTACGTGTTGCAGAGAGGGGCCGCCATCCCTGCTAGATTTTAATCCCCAGTGGTGGGCGGTGCACTAGCCTTTGGTGTCCCTGGGCTTTGCCATCCCTCGATTGGTCAAGCCTGGGGGTCAGGGGAAGGGGCAGGGGAGGGAGGGGCCGGGCAGCTCTGCTCAGAGGCCACAGGTGTTTCTCAGGGGCTGTTTCTCCAGGGACTCGCGGGTCTGTCTGAGCCTGGAGCCCCGTTGGACTCTACACGTGACCCTGTGGGGAACAGTGATCCCAGTAGTGGGGGCGGGGAGAGGCGCTCTCGGGGGGGGGGGGGGGTGGGCCTGGGACCACCCCCCCCACTGGTGTCTTGGCATCGCTGCAGAAGGGCCGAAAAGGCCTGTCACGGCTCAGCACTGGGCACCTCCCTGCTGGCCTTGGCCCAGGCTGGCACAAGTCCAGCTCCTGGCACCGAGCCCAACGGGCCCAACAGATATGAATCCCCCCTTCCTGTTGGGGTGCTGTGGCCTCCACACTGAAGCAGCACCCAAGCAGTGGCCCCTAGGTGGGGGAACGGAAGGACCCCACCAGCACTGGGCACTGACTCCAGCCCCTGATCTCAGACATGGCGCTTGGTGGGGGCTTCTGCCCCAAGTACAGGCCTCAGCTGGTCTTAGGGACAGACCTCGAGGGGCTGAACCTTTCCCTGGCCAGAGAAAGTGCAAGTGGGAATGCTCTGGGTGGTCACCAGGGCCCACGGCTCCCTCGGGCTGTCACACAAATGTCCCCCTTCTGGTGCTGAGTCCACACAGAGCGGGCAGCAGCTCCCCTGGGCTCCAGATGAGTCCTGGCACCTGGGCGTTCCGGTCCACACCCCACTCTGTGTCAGCCCTGACAGCACTGGGCCCCCACACCCTGCTTGCCCACCCTCACCCCTGTCCTCGGGCTCGGCCTGGTGGACCTGGCATGCTTTCTGCTCCAGCGTGGCCTCAAGTACAGCCCACCCCCCAGAGTTGAGTGTGGACAGGTGGATTGGGGGGTAGGGCAAGTACTTGGTGACTATGACTGACCACAGGGAGATGTCAGCCCCAGGTGGGTGTGAAGGGCAGGAAGCTGGCAACAGAACCACACCCCTGCCAACTCACACTTGGACCTGGGGTCACCCCTTTTGATTTTGGGGTTTCATTGCTTATCCCTAACTGTCCATCTGGTGTAGAGTCCACTGAAATGGCAGGACTCCACATGAGGGCATGGCCAGTGGCCTCTCTGGGTGCTGCCAGCCTGGCATTTGCTCCCCTAGCTTGCTGCCGGACACGAGGGCGGGTCTGGGTCCAGCAGGCAGAGCTGCCCGCCGAGGGGGTGGCACCCAGCACAGCTGCTCCTAGGCTATTTGTCCTGGCTGATGTCCCTTGGTGGCAGCCCCTGGGACAGAGCTAGCTGTCCCCACCCCATGATGGAGCCTCCCCGGGGAGCAGGAATACACCTGGGGGTCCAGTGTGGGGGTGCTGGCAGGGCTGGAGGCAGAGACCCTGTGTCGTGGGGACCCACACTCAGCTTCTCCCCCGCAGCAGGTGGGGGACATTGAACACCGACTCACCCCCATACCTGTCCTCAAGGTGACCCCCAAGTCCCCATCACTGCCCATGTGTGCTCCTGGCAAATTTGCTTTTGTTTATCGTTTCTGCTCACTTGGTTGACGGGGCAGCAGCCTTAAAGATGCCTCTAGTTTCCGTGTCGTGGAGAGCTCTGCCGATGTCTTCCTCAATGTATTTTATGTGTTCAGCGTTGATTTCAAGGTCTTTAATTCGTTTTTATGACTTTTGTGCATGGCATTAAAAGGGGTCTGAGTTTTTTTCTTTTTCTTTTCTTTTTTTTATAAATTCATTTATTGAATCACCGTGAGAACATTTACAGAGCTTTCAGATTTAAGTCTCGATTATACAATGTTGAAACACCCATCCCTTCACCAGTGCACATATTTCACCACCAAAAATCCCAGTTCACCCCCATCCCCCCAATCTGTGTGGAAGATGGTTTCCACATTACTCTGTCTCTACTTTGATTGCATTCAATATTTTGATACCAGACCCACCATTATTATTTGGGATTTCCCCCCAACACTCAGACCTGCCAAAAAGGCCACATTAGACAATTTGTTTTCTATTGCTGGTTATGAATATGATGTTGCGTGCGACCGTGCAATTTTGGAATTAATGAAATTTTAATAATTAAATCTGGAGGGATTTCTGCCAAAAGCCGCTGGGTTGAGACATTCGTTTGCAAGTCTCTGGGATCTTGGCCTGTAAGCAGCTTAAATCAGTAGCTGGAGGAGTCATTCGTGGGCAGTGACTTGGGGTCTCGTTGGGGCGGGGGAGGACAAGGGCCAGCTCCACCTCCACCCCGTGAGGTCCTGCGTGTCTCGTCACTGCTGGCCCATATCTGACTGTTCAGTGGCCTCTGGAGGATGGCGGCCACTGAGCCACCAGGGGGAATAGGTGGAGGGATGACACCTTTTTCCACCTGGGGTGGCCTGGCACTGGAAACCTAATGCGAAGTCTGGACACACTTCTGTCAAAAGCCAGCTGGGTTCTGAGATTCATTTGCATGTCTCTGGAATCATGGCCCTTAAGCAGCTTAATCAGTAGCCAGAGGAGCTGTTCGTAAGTTTTTTTTTTCTTTTTCTTTTGCATGTGGCCAATCGGTTTTTCCAGCACCACAAGAGGCATTCCTTGCTCC